TCTGTACATGTAGTATTAGTTTAACAACACAAATATCTACATTCTTTGAGTTCTTGAATTGCATTTTGCAACACAGTCAAGCATGTTTGAAGAAGATGTTTGTCATAACTACTTTTGTTAATCATGTTTGACAACACTACCTTTGTTAGTCACAGTTACATTTTAGTAGGAATTTATGATTACCTATTAGTCAATAGTCATTTGGCATATTGAAAATCATTTTTGTTTGTATTTCCTCAAGGATTTCTATATTCCTATATGATGTTTATAGTTTTTTTTTTAGTATATATTACTGCTTTTACTAATTTTAAGATATAAATATTTTATCGATTAACCAGCTATATACACACATTACATGTATAATAAAAACTATTTCTTACTCAATATCAACATGCACATTCTACATTAAATATTAACATGAACAATCAACCTTAACCACTACATTAAATATTACTTCTTTTCGATTATGGCAATATCCATGGTCCCATATTTGCTGCAAGTCATGATTCTTTATAATGTATTATAGGACTTTATTACAGTAATCTTTCCCTAAAAGTCTCAGGGTCGGAATTGAAAGTGTATTTCAAAGGACTAGAAGACATGATTCTTCGAGCCTCGCGGCTCGCCTTTATACAGTAATTCCTCCTAGAAATGTTCAGAGGTCGGAATTGAAACCGGCTGATCTGAGAATACAAAGTCGCGATTCTTCGAGCCTCGCGGGTCATTTTTACAGAAACTCGGGGCAGTCGACAAAAAGGGCAGCTGCCAGCATGCCGATGTATATTACTATGTATACATAGTAATGCTAGAATAAAAACGATGATTTAATTTTTTTATTTTCATCGCATTCTAAAAAAAATACTACAAAACTTAATATGTTTGCAGATAAAAGTAAATGCGAACTTAAGCGACAAAGAATAGTAAAGCCACAATATGACGAAATAGATAAAAAATTATTGCTATGGTTCGTATAAGGAAGAATACTTGGTTACCGTATGACCTATGTTCTTATATTAGAAAAAGCGACGGAATTAAAAGAAAGTTTGTCGTTATGTTCGCGATTTAAAGTGAATAGTGGCTGGTTAGCAAAATTTTAAAAAACGACATCGCATAAGCTTGGTAAAGATGTACGAGGAGAAAGCTAGTGTCGATCAGGATGGAGCGGATGTTTTTGCAATTAATTTAAAAAAAATAATAGAGGAAGAAAATATAAGTTTGGAAAATGTTTACAAGTTGGACGAAAGTAGACTCGTATGGAAGGCTCTTCCGACGAAAACGCTGGTTGGAAAAGAAGAAAAGAATCTTGGTGCACATGAGGCGAAAAAAGATAGAATTACAATTGGCTTATGTGCAAATGCGTTAGGCACACATAAGATTATGCCTATTGTAATTTACAAATATAAAAACCCAAGAGCTTTGAAACACGAAATTTCGTTACCTGTCATTTTTAAATCGCAGACAAATGTATGGATGGACAAAACAATATTTTTAGACTGGTTTGAAAACCATTTCAAACCATCTGTAAAACAATATCAGGAGGAAAAGCAAATATCAGGGAAAGTAATCCTTTTGTTAGATAATTGCGAAGCTCATAAAGCTTTGCTACAAGAAGATAAAGATTTTAAGATTATGTATTTACCGCCCAATACAACATCTATTCTTCAACCGATGGATCAAGGAATCGTAGAGAAAACAAAAAGAATTTTCCGCCAGAAACTCCTGCAGCGTGTTTTAACGTACGATAAAGGAATAAATGAATTTTATGCCGATTACACAATAAAAAACTGCATTGACATTTTATCCGAATCCTGGTCGGAAATTACACAAAACGATATTAAAAATGCATCGAATAAAATTATTAATCCTGCTAGTAGTCCCATTCAGTCGAAAACAAGAGAGCTTGTACCTGATTGGCAAGGCATGATAAGTGAGATCACAGGAGAACGATGTACTCCGGCACATGTTACACAATTTTTATTAAACTGTAAAGAAGCAGAAAGAAAAGACGGAGACATAGAAATAAAAGAAGAACCGTCGGACCTTCAAGAAGAACCGCAAGAAATTTATGGAGGGAGCAATAACGCAACTGGGAACAATGAATTACGTGTAATATTTGAGAGATTGATATTTTACAGTGCAAAGGCACCAGCTTGCATACAATGCATGGTGCAGGGAATAAAAATATTTTTCTTGGGCAGAGAAAATTAAATAATTAAGTATGCATACAATGATAAAAGTTTGCAGCCAATTTGAATTATTTATAAATTAATTCTTTTTTATATTATTTGTTATTTGGAAGTAGAGAAAAACCACCATCGTAGGCCACGATACTAGACAATTCCAAGGATGATACACAATAAAACAATTTAATGTAGAATATAATTTTGCACTTATTTAATTATACATGAAGTCAATGCAGCTTTTTAATGTACAGTTATTATTAATATGTCTGGTGAATACGACGGGTGGAGTAGAACTTCCCATTTAGGCGTTTCCAAGTAGGTTTTTACCGGTTGTACAACATGTGACCGAGCATTATCATATTGCAAAATCACTTTGTCGTGTCTCTGCTCGTATAGCGGTCGTTTTTCTTTCAATTCTCGGCTCAGGCGCATCAATTGTAATTGATAGCGATCTCCCGTGATGGTTTGATTCGATTTGAGCAGCTTACAATAAACTGCACCCAGCTGAGCCGTCCACCGAATGCAGAGCAGAAGCTTCGAACCATGGATATTCGGTTCTGCCGACGATGTTGATGCATGGTCGGGCTTACCTCACTATCTTCTACGCTTAGGATTATTTTAGTGTTTTAGTTATTTTAGTTATTTTATCCACTTTTCAATGCCAGTCACAATACGATGCAAAAAAACTTTCCTTTTTTGTCGTTGAAGCAGCTGTTTATACGTGAAAAGACGTCGTTTGAAATCTCTCGGCTTCAACTCGTACGGCACTCAATGTTCTTGCTTTTCAATCATTCCTAATACTTTCAAACGTTTCGAAACTGTTGTTTGATGAACAGTTAGTCAGTGTTAATATAGGACTTCTTTTAACTGAATGGTGTAGACAATTTATGATTTATAGAAGACCCATTAATACTTTGACTGCCACGCCAACCATCTTAAAAATTGTATAAAATCAAAGTATTTTATTTAGCCAAATTAGAATTTAGAAAATACGTTGTAATTACATTTTCTTACGTTTTGCGAATCCTAATAAAATTAGGAAGATCTAAAATACACTAATGCACAAATAAATTTTCAAATTTGAGTAAATAATTCCGTCAGCCACATGTGGGTGACGTTGTAGTCAAAGAGTTAACAGGAGAAGTATGTATATGTGAATATTTTATAACAAAATTTAGTACGATCACCTGAAAAAAATGTACATGACTTGACTTATTTATTTTGTAATAAAAGATCAATAAACATGAAAGTAAATTTGAAGAAAGCCAATGAAATATGAATATATAATTATAATGTTGTGGCTAGCAACTAGCGAAACCCTAGAACGACTATTAGAGATAACGTGTATATATATACGAATAATACGTGGCGGTAGACCTGTTCTCATTAAGTAGTTTAAAAAATAAAAATGGAGAAAAACGACACTGTGATTTTATTGCGACTTTATTTGGTGACCTCGACTTAATCGCAGTTTAGTGTTTTATGTTTCTTGTACGGTATAGAGAAGAGACTAACTGAAAAACATGAATGTAAGCAAATGTTAGAAGATTCGCCGGCGACTTCGAAGATAAGCTGCATCAATGTATACATTTATCGTGTTTCATCGTTCTGGTTCCATCAACACGAGCCGCACAAATCCCGCTAAACAACTTCAACAAGACAACCAAATTCTACAGCGCAGTTAGTCAATATACATGCTACAAGTGCGGACGTTTTTAACAAGGAACACATCGGAAAATAAGAAATATGGAACGCCAAAAAAGGAGTAGGACCGTTGATCTTCAGTGCCCCAAAATCCACGTATCGAGAGGCTATCGAAGAAAAGGAAGACATAGGAGACAGAAACTAAAACAGACGCAAGCTATCATAAATAGGCGACAGAATCCACTTGAGTATTGTTCAAACTGAAATCGCGAGCTCCTCTAAAGACAAAACGATTTTGAGATGCTCCACAAAAAACAAGAGAGATTGCCAATTGCAGGTGTCGGCACTATCGCAATCTGGCACATGGTATCGCCCAAACAGATATTTATGAAGACGCTCAAACACACGGAGAAGAGGAAACTCGACAGCATGAGAGGTGGGGTCTCACTGCAAATTTGGAGTGCGAGACCTACTTTAGGTCGCACCTACCTTACATCTGAACTAGATGTAAGAAGCGATGCGATCAGAGAATGACTCAGGAAACTAGGATACACACCAGTTAATACGGCGATCAATGTTGACCTATGGATCTCCGTCGTCGATCAACAGACGATGGAGGAATATATCTAGTGAACACTTTCTTGAACATGTGGACGTATCCTCGCACGCACAATAAATGCCAAACCACGAAGTCGAGATATGAAATGTTTGTGGCAAATGGTTCCCTCAGCAGCAGCTATGATGTAGAGTCGTTCTACTTCAACCCGGTCCACGACGAGGTTTCCAGTAAAAATTTATCGTAGATGTATCGAAGCTGATTTCCTTTTTAAGTGCGATCTGCTGATAGACCTGACAAACCGTCAATTAATGGACCAGTCGACATCGCTGTTTAATATTGGAAGGAAAGTCCCTATGAGTACCTGCTGGCAGACTTGTCGAACATCGTAGTGGCTTCGAATAAGATCAAATACGATATTATCCATTCTATTGATACTACTTTGACTTAGCTGATCTTTCTGACCATTTGCAAACTGTGCAGATTATCCACGGACGTAAAAAGTCGCAAAAGCGGAATTCGAGTTTGATGTACCAGGGCCATTTACGATTTTGAAAGGGCCAGCGGACATTAGCCCTTCACACGATTTCAAATGAAGAAATGTAGGTGAAGCCTCGATTTGATGAAGAAGAGACACAAATGGATCAGCGTCTCATAAATACTTTACAACGCCCTAAAACTTCGGGCAGTGTTTGAGTTGGAAATTAACATTCTGAGAACTTTTTATTCTTGTATTAACCCTACTGCAAAGACTACCGTGCTTTAAATACCAGTACAATTAATGACCATTATCTATTACCGTACAAAGAAGATTTTTTAATGGACATTGAGTGCAATGTACGACTGACATTCGACACATTAGCGGAAAAAACAACGAAGTGACAAACGCACTGTCTAGAATAGAATCAGGTTCAGCGTCTATAAAGTTTAAATAATTTGCAAAAGGAAAACTGACCATAAATTACAGCGTTTGACATTTCGTTACAGCTAAAACGACTTAGAATCACAACGGATGTATATTGCGATATTGCTATTAAAAAACCCTTTTGAAAACAGGCAGTCGTCTCCTTACATCACCTTGCGCACGCAGGGATGAAGGCAACAATTGATACTTCGATTGTCATGTCAACCCCATCTCAAAAATGTATTCAATTGAAGTATTTTATTTAATCAAATTAAAATTCGAAAGTTGTACAACACGAATTGCGTTTTTCGAATCCAAATAAAATGAGGAAGACATAATAAATTAGCGTACAAGTTAATTTTCAAATCGCTAAAGTAATCTGTTTTTTAACTTGAATCTCTCTTACCTCACACAGTTTGTCCATATGCGAAATTTCTTTTACTCTCATTACGGCTTCATTATCAGTCCTCAGTGCTGTTTCATTTCTCCCAGGGTGCTGTCTCGTGAATCTTCCTCGGCTTCCTTCCTGGGAATTTCCTCCCTGTCCTCTTCTCGCAGATAATAGATTCCTCCTCGGCTCGCGACACTCCAATGCAATGTAGTCGAAGAGTTGGCAATTAAAGCAACGTTTCTTTTGGTTACACTCTGCAGCCATATGTCCCTATGCTCCGCAGTTGTAATAATAGATATTACTCTTAGGCCCTTCTTTGGAGCGTTTCCTTTTCTCCTCAGGATCTCTTGTTTTAGAGCAAATCTTATGTCAAATATTGATACATTTCTTTGCATTTCTAAAACCCGTACATTTGGGTTGAATTCGGGATGGAGTCCTCTTAATATGTACATTTTTAATTCGAATTCTCTCTCTTCAATATCCTTCCCGAGCTGTTTGCATTGGTTTCTTAACGCCTCTGCTCTGTTTACAAATGCATCAACGGTTTCGTCCTTATCCATTTTCAAATTTGTTATTTCGTTAAGAATTCTAGATTTTATTTCTTCAGTTCCCGCGACCATATCCAGTTTGATCATTGTCCATAGTTTATCCGCCCATGACTGTATTTAAGTAATTGCGCCTTAGTCATATTATTTATCATTATTGTTCTCGCTGCGTAATTATTATCATCCCATTCGGTCCATCGTTCCCAGGAGTTGAAAAAATGGCTCGGTAGTAAAACATTTTTCAATAATGAAGAGGTGGAGTCTGCTGTTAATGGCTATTTTGAGGAGTTCTCGATGGTTCTTGCTATAAACAGTGTATCGAAGCTATTGAACACCGCTGGGAAAAGCTAAAAGGAGATTATGTTGAAAAATAAAGATATTTGTTCCCAAATTTCTTGTGTTTTCTTTGATTTGATCGGGTACTTCTGGGACCACCCTCGTAAAAGTATGTATTTTATATTATTCGTTATTATACACAAAAAGCATTCATCACTTATTGTACATATATTTACATGATTTTGATGAGTCGGTGGCAGCGGCCCTCAATCCAGTCGCGTAAGCGACTGCGATCGCATCTACGTTCTGACAGCCAATTCCAGCCATCTTCCCTGCATTATATGCATCTGTGATCGCAACCGCACACGAAAATATTTTGCCATTGGCTATGGCGGCGGTGTCATCATCGATGTTGCAATTTTTCAATTTTTTTGTCAATTGCGCGTCCATTGTTCTGTGAGAAAAGAAAAAATATTATTTCATACCTTGTCGGGGATTTGTAACACGAAGATTTTTTTCGTATCCTCAAACAAAAATTGCGTGTAACTACAAATGTGCTGCGGAGATCTGATGAATTGAATAAGTCGGAGATTGGATTCCCGACTCTTTCGAATTACTGCACATTTGCTACCGCTCGCAATTCTTATTCAATGAAGTTAAGTCTTGAGTTGTCTCGAATAGTGTCGAGCAGTCTCCAGCAGTCCAACAATCTCGAGCCGTCTAGAGCAGACTCGAACAATCTCGAGAAGTTTCGAACCGTCTCGTGCAGTCACAAGTCTCGAGCAGTCTCGTACGGTCTCGAGCAGTCTCGTACAGTCTCGAGAAGTCACGAGTAGTCTCGAGCAGTCTAGCAGTCTAGCAGTCTAGCAGTCTTGAGAAGTCTCCACCAGTTTCGAACAGTCTCGAGAAGTCTATAACAATCTCGTGCCGTCTCAGCAATCTCGAACCGCCTCGAGAAGTCTCGAGCAATTTAGCAGACTCGAGCAGTCTTGAGCTGTTTCGAGCCGTCTCGAATAGTCTCGAGCAGTTTCGAATAGTCTGGAGCAGTCTCGAATAGTCTCAAGAAGTCTCGAATAATCCCAAGCAGTATCGAGCAGTCTGGCTTAGCAGTACTTCACACAGTGATTCCAATTGATGAATTAGTTGTTCACAACAGTTTTAGCAGTTTTAAGACGTAAAAAACAGTTTTATGTAGGTCGTTGAACTTTTCATTTAAACAAAATTTCTTTTAAATTTTTTATATTTATGTTTAACTAACTAAGTACTAATTAATTTTTGTCCGAAACATTTTTTGTCAAAGCACCAGAAATGACTGAAAAATTGCGGATAACATGTAAATAATAAATGATGTTTATAAATTTTTATTTTACCAATAGTACATTTCTCGTACTTAAAAATGCTGTTGCCTATAAGAAATATTGCTTATAATTTATCTGAACATTAATATTCGATTGATTAAGGAGAATTGTCAACGTTTTATATAATTAACAATTAATATCTTTTGACTTTCAACGCATCGCGCTTTCTTTCAAAGTGAAATGATTTCTACAAGCTTTTACCTGTATAATCATACCAACGTCTTTCCACGAAAATAATTATTTTTTAAAGTGACTCCGTGGCCGGAACCGCGCGAAGCGTCAAGACGTTATTGTTGTTGTTTCTATTAATTTATAATTTTTTTATTCTAATAATGATATTTTTGTTGTTACCTAATGTTGTTGTTGCATTGATAATGCGATCCTGCTCCCGGCTTCATTGTTTGCGATGCGAACAGTTACGTCCGATCTTCCCGTGGATATTAGTGATATATCAATGTTTTCCCATACTTTAATAAAATTTTGTGAACCAAATCAAAAACTGTTTTCTAGATTTATTTTCTATATTTATCGTCGATCCGAAATTATCGCACGACACAGTGCGAATGGGCTTATAGGGGATACCACTGACAAAAAGAACGCATCAACAATAGTACCTCATGGATGATGTGGAAATCTATTGATACGAGCGTTACCCTAATGCACCATGAATAGTTACGGTACGCGCCTAAGGTCCATCGAGCCGAAGGAGAGCGAGATGCTGCGACGGGAGTCAGAAAGCGTAACCCTCGCGGCATCAATGTTACATTGGCCGCAGCACGAGTTTTTGCTTCCACTTCCTCTCCCAAGATTTCCGCTGGAAGAAAGTTAATTGACCGAGTCGGCTGCGGCCGGGTCGTCCAGCTTAATGTGTGCCTGTTTAAGCCCTTCCGTGAAGACAGTCCTCTCGACACCGTGCATATCTATGACAAACATCTTGTCGGTGAGGCATTTGATGACCTTGTGGAGGCCGGTGTACGGATCTTCCAGGGATCTGTGTAGTGTCTACGTTTGAAAATGTGAGAGCAGCTCCGCAAAAAAAAAAACGACTTCTCTGACGAATGGTGCCTCACTGGAACAGCTCGGAGAGACCTCATCAGTGCACGCACCTTTTCCAGGAAACCAAAGAGCAAGGAGAAGATGCTTACCAGCACGAAAAAGTCTCCTGGTAATCTCAGCAGCGAACCAAAATTCATCTTCGCCGAAGACTTTCAAAACTCCGACGAATACAAAACCGTTGAAAGTATATGTAACCATGCCGGTGGTATATATGACACAAAGTAATGCGTGGGTGGACCATACAATATTTTCCAAGTGGTTCCAGCTTTTTAAGGACAACATAAGGCAGCAGCAACTGAAGGAGGGGGTCGTTGAGAGGGTGATCCTGTTACTGGACAACTTCTGCACCCACTAGGTGGAAGGACAATCTGAAATGGACAGCAGGTTTGAGATTGTCCACTACTACTCTCATCCAACTTATGGACCAGGGGGTATTTCTCAAAATGAAGCGTGCCTACCGCCATAGATTCGTGCAGAAGCTCATGCAGTCTGGCTGTGATATGGCGAGTTTATATAAAAAATTCACTATAAAATATTTCATCAATATTCTGGACGAATCTTGGAGAACAATTGATTGCAGGAATATTCAAAATTCCTGAGGCCATGAGGCAGAGGCCAAGGAGATGGAGAAGATCAAACAGAAAACTATCAAAATTTATAATGATTTATTCATTTAGCCCATACGACACAAATGTTCCTAGCCTGCTTGAAGGCGACTAAGCAGCAAGCAGATGATGGTATTTGTGAACCCCAGTCCCACCTCTGCCCAGTTGTGCAAAAAAATTAACAAACGTCGAAGTATTTGTTTTAAGTCAATTAATTAACACAAATTAAAGAAATATCATCGAGTTTATTGGTCTTTTGTATGGTGCAGATATAACCAATATGGGTGTTCCGCAGAAAGGAATTTAACAAACCAATCGACCCTTTTCAGGACCCCAAATACATTCACCTGGGAAATTTCGTCACACGTCTGATGTGAAATAATTAATCAAATCTATGTAACCCAAACCCACAGATTTCCCATAAAGCTACATTGTCTTAAGCATTGTAGACTTAAGCATGTGCAGCAGACAATTTTTATTTATATATTTCAGCATACGTTGGAAAATCACATCAATTCGATTTTCGACATTCTAAAATTTTCTAAGTTTTACAAAGCCTTTTTTTACACGCGACGGCGCAAATAAATAATAATTATTATGTTTGTTTAAAATAAGAAGTTAGATATAAGAAACTATACAAATATCTGTTTTGTTGTTCATATACTTTCGTAGACAGAAACTGAAGAATTGAGTGTTGATAGGAACTACTGATGAAGGTATAACTTTATTCAACATAATACAACCCATATTTCATCTTCATCAATCCAGTCAGATGATGAGGTATATATCTCATTAGACTTTTTTCATTTTTATTCTTAATTCTATAATGAGCATTTTATAATTAAATTCTCTAATGAATTTTGACAAACTTTAAGTACTAGGATCTGAGTTAAGTTAATTGTAAATATTCCACAATGCAATATATCCATCTTTTGCAGCTGTAGCCATTATACGTTTATCATATGTTCTTACTTTATCTGAAGAGTATCCAATGTCCTGTACTGTATCTCTATGTTGGTCCAGAACAGCTAATGGTCTTAAATTTTTCCAAGAATATATTCGAACTCGACTGTCCCATCCTCCAATTGCTACAATCTTAGTATCAGGCCTTATAGTGATTACAGATGTGCCAGGATTTGTCAATTTAATTTTTGTTCTATCACAAAATATATGATTTTCTGACAAAGTAAATACCTACGAATGAGAAATTAATTACTGTGATAATAAATATGATGATAACATTTTTAAATTTATAAAAAACCTATTCTATCAAATAAAAATTCAATAAATACATCTTCAATGAAATTATCTTATGTTTTCTAAGAATTGTTCTTGATTCTTACAAATAGTGATAACAATAAAAATATTTTACCTGTAACTGATCTGAAGGTCCAGAAATTATACCTTTCATTAAAGTAATATCAAAATCCAAAGCCATTGGACATGGTTCAGTTACTAAGTAATTTAAAATCTTGTTTTGTCTAATGTCCCATAAAAGTAATTTGCCGCATTCATAACCCACTAAAACCAATTGTTTATGTTTCATTGGTTTGATTACCATCACTTCTCCTAACTGTTCAATGTTTGGAGGACTCAGTTCTAACTCCATGCTAAATGTATTTGTAGATAATATTCCAACTTTAGATTCCTTAAGTGGTACAAATAGCTCATTTTGAGAAAATGTTTGAAACCTGTCATTGATATTTTAATTTTAATACGTTTAGCAATTTTTTAAACTAAAACAAGTTAGATTACGATATTATAGACTAGTGTAAACGGTTATTGTAGGCCTGTGGTTAGGTTTTGGGGATAATTAACTTTATGTTTATCGAATAAGACATATTAAATTCTTTTGTTTTGCTTATTTTTGAATAAAAAAGATTTAATATATTTTATTCAATAAATATGAAGTTAATTATGATCGAAAACAAAGAAATGGTAACCCCACAGTAACCGGCCCTACTATTCTAAGGCTGAACTTTACTGTTGCCCCCCCCCCCCCCCCCAA